GGGCGGGGACCAGGGAGGGTGGCGGCGCACGGGGGGCCCGCCGCCGCCCTTCGCGCCAGACGGCGCCGCCGCCGGGCCCGCGACCGCCGCGGCGGCTTCCCCCGTCCGTGCCGCGCCGGCCGCGCGCAGCACCGCGCATATGATCCGCGCGGCGACCGCCTCATCGCCGGCGGCGTCGGCGTCGCGCACCCAGCGCTGCACCGCGCCGAGCTTTGGGGGGCGCCCCGCGGCGCGCATCGCGTCCAGCTGCGCGACGGCGGCGCCCCAGTCGCGCGCGGCGAGCGCCTGGCTGACCAGGAAGGAAGGGTTAGGGGGCGCCGCGGCCTTGACGCCGGGCGCGGCCGGGGCCACCTTGGGGGCGCCCTTCTGCCGCTTGGGCAGGCGCAAGCCGGCCGTGACCTGCGCCTCGCGCGCGCGCTGGCGCTTTAGCGTCTTGCCCATCCTCGCGACAGCTGCTGGCGCTGCCGCTTGGGGTGCGGCGCGGCGGCTGGGCTGGCTGGGCGGCAGCGGTCGGCAATGCGTTGCCTTGCTACGCGGCAAGCGCCCGCATGCAACGCGCGCCCGTGAACGAATAAGCAAGATGGTACCAAGTGTTAGCGGGTTGCTGAGCACTGCGCGCGGCCGCAAGTGAGCGCACGGAAGTTTTAGCCCGCCGTGCAATCTACCGTGATTTTATGGCTGTTATTATGCTTGTGCAAAACAAAAGGTCAATACCGCATCGATTGTGCTGCGTTCCTCTGGAAACCTGCTGGCTTCTGGCGCAGAGGCGGTTTGCGGTTGTCACCAGCCAGAGCTTGGGGGTCGTGCTCGCCAGGCATCAACTTACACACATAGGCAGGTGCATGACATTTACTGTTTGTTTTTGAAGGGGTCATCTGCCAAGCTTCCCTTCTCTATTTGCATGCCGGACGCTGCCGCACTTGCTGGGTGTGCCCGGTTTGCACAGCCTGAGCGACTGCTTACGTCGTTACTTCAATGTCTCCCCAGCACTCACAAATTGTCCGAAAAAATCACCCCACACAAACCTCTTTTGTGGGCTGCGGCATGCAACAAACAATACCAACCAGACAGCAAAAGATCAAGAGCGAATCCCCAGCAGGTGAGTGCAGTGCCACTGGGTTCCTGCAAGTAACAGCTGCTTTCACCCCTTCCCTGAGTGGAGTTATGGGGATATATGGCGGAGTGACAGAGGAGAGAAAAGCCTAACACACCACTGCGTGCGTCGGTTGAGATAGCCGCACTCAAGGCATCAGGGCATGCACGCGGCCCCACGTTGACTGCTGCACACCGAAGCACGCCCTGAGTGACGGCCCTGACAGAGACCTGTCAATACCAATATCAACACGAATGGATGCCTCATGCAGACACATGGGAGACTCCGCGGGACAAGCAGCCCACAGTTGCGGGAAGTTGGTGTGCAGCTGGAGCCCCCTCGATGAACACGAACGACGCCGATCTGAGCGCAAGTGGCGATCTTGCTAAGCGTCCGGCAGCGCGGCGCGAGCGAGTACAGGCGTAGAGAGCAGTGACATCAAGCAAGCAACTGAGCAGCGGAGAAAAGGGCGGAGGGAGGGAGATCGCAGCTCGCCGCGGCAACGCAGGCAAGTGCGAGCCGTATGAGAGCATCTTGTTGCCATGTTTATGTTGGGCGGGCTCAATCCCGCCCGAACGCGTGCACCACTTTGTGCAGCGTGGTTCGCGCGCGCTGGGCGTCTGTTTGCCCTCGTGGATCACATTGAATGGCTATTAGTGACCTTGTGGACTGCGTATAGTCTGTTGAGGTCTGCGGCAGGAGGACTCAGAGCACGGGGGAGGTCGCCAAGTGTGGTGCCCAGCGCTGCGTCGCAAATCGTGCCAGACACGAGCTAGACGTGAGCACATGCATATACTGGAACACCTGAACGCGCAGGCAAAGGCATCAGGTAGCGCAAGTGGGCGGCCGGCGAGCAGCTGCACCACCATACAGCGTGACCTGCCGCCAACCGCGCGCGCGCCAACAGGCGCAGCGCCCGGCGCGGGGGCCGGCCCGACGCCATGCAGAACGGCATGGGGCAGCCCGCTGCCCAGGCGCAGCTGCTGAGCGCGCAGCAGCAACAGCTGCTGCAGCAGCTCATGGCCGCGCAGCAGCGGCAGGGGGCCATGCAGGGCGGTGCACAGGGGTCGATGCCGCTCGTTGCAACCCCCGTGCAGCTTCTGCAGCAACCAGGCATGGTCCAGCAGCAGCAGCAGCAGCAGGCGGGGGGCCAGCGCGCGCAGCAGGCGCTGACACCACAGCAGCAGCAACAGCAGCAGCATGCCATGGCAATGCTCCTTCAGCAGCGGCTTGCACAACAACAGCAGCTGCAGCAGCAACAGCAGCAGCAAGGCCAGCAGATGCAGGCGATGGCACAGCAACACCAGCTGCAACAGCAGCAACAGCAGCTACAGCAGCAGCAAGCGGCGGCGGCAGTAGCCGGCCAGAGAGCACAACAGCCGCAGCAGCCCCGCGCCGCGGCCGCGAGCCCCCCCGGCGCCCCGCGCCCGCCGGCCGGCCTCGTCCCGCTGCCCGTCGCCGCGGTCCCCCAGGGCCTGCTGCCGCAGCAGCGCGCGGCCGCGCAGCAGGCGGCGCAAAAGGAGCGTCTCGTGGCGGAGGCCGTCGCGGCGGAGGCGGCGCGCCAGCGGTCGCAGGCCGAGGCCACGCTCGGCCCCGCCCAGGCGGCGCTCGCGTCTGAGGGCATAACGATGAAGCCTGGCGCCGTGATGACGGCGGCGCAGTGCACCACGTTGCGGGCCCAGATCATGAAGTTCAAGGGGCTGCGCAAGGCGGGCGCCGCCGGCGCCGCCGCCGACCCCACGGCGGTCGAGGCGCAGCTCGCCGAGCTGCGGCCGGCGCCGCTGCCGCCGCAGGTGGCGCGGCTGGCGCCGGTGCAGAGGATCCTGGGGGGCGTGCTGGACCAGGCCGGGCTGTCGGAGGCGAGTTTGAACGCGGCGGCCGCGTTTGATCGGCAGGTGCAGGCGCAGGCGCAGCTGCAGGCGCTCGCAGTGCAGGCGCAGCTGCAGCAGGCGCAGCAGCAGGCAGCGGCGCAGGCGGCGGCGGCGGCGCAGCAGGCGGCGGCGCAGCAGGCAGCGGCGGCGGCGGCGGCCGCCGCGCAGCAGCAGCAGCCGCCGACGGGCCCGAAAAAGCGGGGGCCAAAGCCCAAGGCGGAGAAAGAGCGCCTGGCAGCACTGGCGGCGGCGCAGAGCCAGCAGGTGCGCGTGGGGGTTGGGCCGGCGGCAGCAGTGGTCGTGACCCTCAACGAGCCATGTTTTTGCCTAGCCTGCCCTCAAGATACACAGCTGTTGTTTGCGAGCGGGTTGAATCTGATACAAATAAATTAGAAATTTGCAGGGCTAGGCTTTGATGTTGAAGCGCTCCAACCCCACCGTCTCAACCCCCCCTGCGCTCCCCTCCCTAGGCGGCCGCGGCGGCGGCCGTCGCGGCCGCGGGGCGGCAGGCGTCCCTGCAGCTCCAGGAGCAGGCATCGGAGCCGCGGGAGCCGGCCGTGCCCACGCTGCCGCCGCAGACACCCAAGCAGGCGCCCGCGCCGGCGCCCGTGACGCAGGTGTGGCGCGGGCTCGTCGGCTCAGGCGCTTATGATCCCCTCCTGCAGCCACGATTTCTGATCCGAAGCCGTCGCCTTGGCGCACATGCGCGTTTTCTCACCGCCCTGGTTGGGTCCCTGTTGCTGCCGTTGCCCTCATTGATCAAGGATGGATCACCCGCTGACCCCCATTTCCTCCACCCCTCACAACCCCGCCCCTGGGCCCGCCCTTCAGGTCCCGCTGGACCCGTCCGCGCGCGACCCGCGGCCGATGGTGACGCTGCTGGCGCCGACGGACCAGCAGATCATGCAGCAGCTGCAGGGCAAGGTGCGCCCCCGCACGGCGCGGCCGCCTGGGGCTGCCTTGCAACGCATCAACCTGCCACCCGGGCACTGTCCCTGTTTCGAGGGCTGATTGTTCAATCGCTCCGAGCTTCTCTTTCGCAAGGCGGCGCTATGCCATAATATGCACGGCGGAAGGAAGCGCTGACAGCGCTCGCGTCGCGCGCCAGCCCAGTCATGGACCCGGCCCTTTGACCTTTTGACCGCCACATGCATGCGTACGCGCGCGCGCCTGTCCCCCCCCCCAGACCATGCTGGGCATGCCGGCCGACCTGCCCAAGCTGCTGGCGGGCGAGCTGGCGCGGCGCCTGGCGCAGCGGCAGGAGGAGGTCGCGGCGCAGCTGGACGCAGCGCTCGCGGGCGGCGGCGCCACGCACGGCTTTCACAGGGTAAGTGTTGTTTTGTGGGGCGGGCAGCGGGGGTCGAGCGGCTAGCGCAGGGCGCGGCCCTGGGGGCGGGGGGGACAGGGTGGGTGGAGGCATGGGGGGCGCGCCACTACTGGGGGCGCTCGAAGGGGCGGATGGCAAGGCTGCTGCTGGGAAAAGCGTGAGCAGCGGAGCGCATGCTGCAGGGTTGTTTGAGTCGGTGCTTGGCGCGCCGGGCGGCCGGGAGGGCGGCCTGCGCACTGGCGGATTCGCCAAGGGCTCGAGTCTGCTGAGCGACGGGCGGGGCTGCGCGCGCAAGCTTTTCAGTCCCTTTCTCCCTAGCAGCACGTTACCACACCCAATTCAATGCACACTTCACACACACACACACACACACCCACACCCACACATACAAAATCCACCCAAATCCCCACGCGCCCCCCCAGGACTCGGAGGGCCGCCCCGGCCGCGGCGCGCTGCAGCTGGCGCGCCGCAAGCTGCGGCTGCTGTCCTATCAGCGCAGCCTGCGCGACGCCGTCGAGATCGAGGCTGACGAGCTGGCGCGCGCGCGCGCCACCGCGCGGCCCATGTACCTGCAGGTGAGACCCCCTCTGCTGCTTTTTCGTCCCTGCAACTGCCGGCCGGCCTGCGGGCAGCTGGGGAGCTGGGGTGAAGGGTGTGGGCGCGGCAGGCGCGCGGGGCGGGCCGCGGAGGACGCGTGGTCGGGCGCGAGGGCGTGCACGGGTGCGGCTGTTTGCCTGGAGTGAAGGGGTGTGGAGACAGATGGGTGGCTGGCCGGGGCGGCACGCGCGTCCCCCTGCGCCTGCAAGAGAGGGGGTTTGGTGAATCAAACTCCATCAGCGCGGCTCGCAGCCCCGCTGTCGCCACGCGCACGTGCGCTGCGCCACCCCGGGTTGTGGCGGCTGCCCTCAGGCAGCCCTGGCCCGCAGCCC